GCGCTGTATCTTATGGGGACACAAAGAAAATTTTAGGCTTATGGGGTAGTCCGTGAGGCTGTATTGTCTGAGCTAGTTGCCTTGAAACCATTCTGGATATTGGATCATCTGGGCCATGGTGTCTTCGGAGACCTTTCAGGGGGTCTTGGCTGGTCAAACCTGATGTATCTTAATCTGGAACAAATCCATAGCCTCTGGCTTTCTTTGGAAACAAAAGCAGAGTCTCCTTTCCAAAGCAACATATCCTTACATCCAAATTTTGAAATCAAGGTACCTTTAAAATATACATATTGGCTTAACTCAACAGCTTTTACAATCCAATGTCTTTCTGCAGTTAAGAATATCAAAGACAACATAATCCTGATTTTCTGTGTAATATCCATCTTTACGTGGCTTATTTTTTATACTACCTTTACTGTCTCTTTAAAGACTTTATTTTTAAAAACTATTTGTTTATATAACTGCATATATTCCTTCTTCTCTCCCTTTCAAGCCTACATACATTTTTATACACATTGTAAACCATTTAAAGTCTTGTTTCATCTGAATCTGCCTTATTGTGTAACTATTGCTTTAAACTGCAGCGGTTAGTACTAAAGCAGAAGTCTTGGCTGTTAGCTTCACCCAATTTAGTTTTTTAACATGGTGGAGATAATTCACTGCTAGTGCTGGGGACCATAGTGGGTCTATGCTTTTATCCAAGCAGCATGTAGCTCAGAAACCTCTCTCTCTCTCTCTCTCTCTCTCTCTCTCTCTCTCTCTCTCTCTCTCTTTTTTAATTAGCAAAGGCTAAATTCACCACATAGCAGCAGTGTAATGTGCGGCTTGGAGACGTCTCATTCCTGCCATACTGCCGGTCAAGCTTGCACGCCATAAACCTGCCATAGTAGTTCAAACCCACAGGCTGCCGCTAACTTGAGAGAGATAACTAGGAAGCTGTTTTTAGCTCCATTTTATAATCTTGTTTTTCAGGTTTTAGGTGGAAACTCTCGCCAACCCATTGGGCGTCATATGTAGCTGGAGTTTTTTCCAGTCCTGCCTGGTCCACGGTCAGGACAAATCTCTCTCAACTGCCAGTCCTGCAGCTGCTCAGACCCAACCGAGTAAACACACAGAGACTTATATTTCTTACAAACTGTATGGCTGCAGCAGGCTTCTTGTTATCTAGTTCTTATATCTTAAATTAACCCATTTCTATTAATCTATAAGTTGCCACGTGGCTCATGGCTTACCGGTATCTTAACATCTTCTCATGGCGACGGCTGGCAGCATCTCTCTGCCTCAGCCTTCCACTTCCCAGAATTCTCTTCTCTGCTTGTCCCACCTATACTTCCTGCCGGCTACTGGCCAATCAGCATTTTATTTATACAGACCGATATCCACAGCACCCAATGAATCTGATTTTTATTAAAGTGCTTTGTATAATTTGTCATGCAGGGAAATTTTCCTTTTCTTTCTGCACAAATTATTTACAGTCATCTACACTTTGATACCTAGCCCCCTAGCTGTTTCTCTGTGACACTTGCAGTATGGATCCTTAGGATGTCTGTGGATTGAACCCTTCGAAGAAAATACATAATTTTATGTGATGGGTATACATACCTTTTTTTTTTTTTTTCTGAAACAGGGTTTTTCCATGTAGTTTTGGTGCCTGTTCTGAATATTGCTCTATAGACCAGGCTGGCCTCAAACTCACAGAAATCTGCCTGGCTCTGCCTCCTGAGTGCTGGAATTAAAGGCAAGTGCCACTGCTGCCGGGCTACATACTTTTTTTTTCTCTTGTGGAGAAACCACCAGAGTTTTCATTAGATCCTCAAAAAGATGCTTCATCTACTAAGATCAGGGAGACCTGGGTTACATGATCTCTTCTACCTTCCGTCAGGAAGCCTTATATTTTATACCTTTCCAAATCTGCCCTTGCATTTCATTTCAGTTGTGGTGGTTTGAATAAGAATGGTTCCCAGAAGCTCATATATTTGAATGCTTAGTCACCAGGGAGTGGCAGTATCTGAGAAGGGTTAGGAGGTGTGGCCTTGTTGGAGTAGGTGCGGCCTTGTTGAAGGAAGTGTATAATTGAGGGTAGGCTTGGAAGTCTCAAAAAGCCCACACCTGTCCCAGTGTTTTTCTCTCTCTCTTTCCATCTCCCTCTCTCTATCTCTCTCTCTTTGACTGCAAATCAGGATGTAACTCTCAGCCATTGCTCCAGTGCCATGAGTAACACCATGTTTTGGCCATGCCCCTGCCATGAGGATAATGGACTAGCTCTAAAATTGTAAGCAAACCTCCAATTAAATGCTTTCTTCTATAAGTGTTGCCTTGATCATGGTGTCTCTTCACAGCAATCGAATAGTGACTAAAACAGAAGCACCTTCTAATTAATTCATTCAACAAATATCAAGTGAGCACTTACAACATGAGGTGTTGTATCACCCAAGTTCACTAAACTGAAAGTTGTTCTCTATTGGCTGATAGTCTGCATTGGAGAAAAATAATCCATCACATAAGAACATGTTATAAGTGTTTATCACAGGTATGGCAACTTTTAGATTTGTGAGGGTCTGAGCATTTGTAGGTGTAGTGTTGTTTCCAAAATATCTGATGCCATTGGGGGAGAGTCAAGAGAAAGCTAAGTGACCAGTTAGAAGCCGATGGAGAAGAATAGGGAAGAAAAATTAAGAGGTTCAACTCTAACTGGGGCTGTGTAAAAGGAATGGGAGAGATTCAGAGCATACTAAGAAGGAAAAGCAGATGGGAATTGCTTATTGAGGCATTGAACACGAGAACTCATGGGGAACTAGAAATCAGAAATAGCTGCTGGTTTTTTGGCTTAGGCGAGTGGTTGCCTGGTGGAGTCATTGCTGAACTAGGAAACAGCAAAGTTCCAGATTTAAGTGAAAGTTTAGTTCTGTGCATTTGCAGTCTTGTGTAGGGGTATAGAGCCAGAAATGGACACGATCATCCTAAGTAGGGGTATAGACACAACAAAGATCTTGGGACTATCAGGGCTTTAGAGGATCATGGAGAAAGGATAAAGTTAGTGGTTGAGAGAAGAGATATGAGAAACAGGGTGAAGTGCTGCAGATAAATCAACCAAGGTCAAGGCAGGAAAGAGCCCACTGATGAAGCCTCCTCAAGAGTACTTTGCAGGGAACAATGGAGTAGAGGCTTCTGGGAGATGTGATGTGGTTGCAAGGAAAAAGGTTGTAAGAGAGAATGAGGGGGAGGTGGCAAGGATCTTGTAAATAGATATATTTCACCCAAAGCATCATGGTGAGCTGTGATGGTAGCTAGAGAGTGTGTAGGTAGGCTGATTGTTTCTCACGTAGTGGTAACTGTTACAAAGTATTCATGAAGTTCCAAGAAGCTAACCCCAGAACCAATGATTCTGGTATCTGGTAATTAAACATTATTTTTTCTTTTTATTAGTTTTTTTGGAGACACCATCTCACCATGTAACTTTGGATGGCTTGGAACTTGCTATGTAGATCAGGCTGGACTCAAACTCACAGAAAAATCCATCTGCTTCTGCCTTTTGAGTTCTGTTACTAAAAGCATGCATCACCATCCTGGGTACATTTTAGTTTTGAAAGACTTGTGTTCTAGTTTTTTTTTTTTTTTTCTGTTGCTGAGCTAAAACTACTAAAAGCAACTTGGGCATGAAAGAGTTTCCTTGGCTTATACATCCTGGTGACAGTCCATCACTGAAGGAAGTTAGAGCAGGAGCTCCAGGAAGGAGCCTGAAGTCAAGACCTGAAGCAGAAATCACGGAGAAATGCTGCTTGCTGGCTTGCTCTCTATGACTCATTGAGCTTGCTGTTTATGCAACCCAGGACCGCCTGCCCAAGGATGGCACCACCCACAGTGGGGTGCCCCCCACATCAATAAGTAATCAAGGAAATGCCCCTACAGACTTTGTCTACAGGCCAATCTGGTGGAGACATCTTCTTAACTAAGGCTCCCTCTTCCCAAATGGCTCTAGTTTGTGTCAAGTTGACAAAAACTAAACCAGTGCAACTTGATTACTGAACTGGGAAAGAGTTCCTTTGTCAAGATTTTAAAGGCATTTCAAAACTGAGATGGCTCAGGCACTGACCTGCAGGAAAAAAGCCAAAACTTACCAGAACAGAGGCTGGCTCTAAACAGCGTATAGGACTGTACCAACAAACAGCAGCTCTGCAAGCTAGGTAGATGGAGACAAGTGACTTTCTCAGGAGTACTTTGACTGAAGAGACTGATTTCCAGATTGAACTGGGGCCTCCAGATTGACTTCAGGGCTTCCAAAGGACCAGATTATGGAATGCAACCACATTGCAGAATATATGTAAACACTTCTGCTGGATTACATTGAAGGACAATTTTATAATCACAAATCTAGGGGCAAAGTGAGCCTTAAGACATACAGGAACAATGAAATACTTTGGTTTTTATCTCCCTAAATGCTAAGGTGGGGGCACACCTTTATTCCCAGCACTCAGGAAGTAGAGGCAGGCTGATCTCTGTGAGTTCAAGGCCAGCCTGGTGTGCAGAGTGAGTTCCAGGACAGCCAGAGTGGTTACAAAGAGAAACCCTGTCTTGAAACAAAACGAAACAGCTAAGGTTAAAAGTTAGCAACACGTTTTAGAGGGAGAGTAAAATGAACACAACTCATTTGAAGTAAGAATTGTGAGGGCAAGGGAGATGTCGGTTTCAAATTCTAGCTTCATTTGGAGCTTGACGTAGGAACACAACAGGTATCTTTTGCAGCAGAGCATACACAGGTGGAGATTTCCTTCCCTGATGCTTTCTCAGTGACGGGCGGGCGCTGGTAGTAGAATTTAAGATGATATGATTTTGCAGGCTCTTGTATGTGCTCTGTTTTTATGGTAGGTCAGGATTCTGGGGCAGAGGCTCACAGCTGGAAGTCAGTACACTTTATCATTACAGTGCACAGTGATGGTTGATTTTCCCCTTCGGTAAGGGCATGATCTTGCATTCTTCCAGGATTTTTTTTTTTTCCCCAGACAGGAACTGCAGCACATCTTTTCCCTTTTGACAAATGCCGAAAGATAAGGCTTCCCGAAGAATCGGCCATCTTTCAGAGCTTCTCCTTGTAGCACATTTGTTGTGATATGTAAGTCTGTCTGGTTTACAAATGGACTTAATTATAGTTATTATACCTCCCTTTATGCTTCTTGGTGATGGCTCAGAATGTCATGTCTCAATATACTTTGGAGAAAATTGGAATTTAAAAGTTCGTTTTGAAAGGGAAGAAGGGAAAAGGTGAGAGTTCTGTAGTAGTGCTTAATGTCCTGCCAGTAGGGAGAGTAACAGTATTACCTTTCTTGGGTAAAAGAAGGCATAGATCTGCTCGTTTACTTGGATTCTATGTTGTTATCATTGTTAGGAGATTTTTTTTTTGGGGGGGTCAGTTTCTTTTATTTTCAACTGTTGCTGATGTTGACTAAATAAAATAAACTGCTCTACTGGTGCCACCTCTTAGATAGGATGGAAAAATATTCAGATTGAGAATAAAAAAGAAAAGAAATAATTTATCTGTAGGTGTGTTATTATTATTGATGGTGTTTCTAATTCTCTTTTTCCAGATCACATCAGTCTGAGGAAGCAGGCCTAGAACATCAAGATAACAGCATGTCCTTCATCATTTTGACCTTGAACATTTCCCCAGCAGTGTCCTGGAGGCCTCAACTATTCCAGCCTCCTCTACCTCCCAAACTCTTGGCTTCTCAGATATCCCTTCTACTGTTTCTGGCTGCCTCTGCTCTGAGGGTTGGCAACCTCAGTTGGAAGTTCATGTGCACCACCTTGATGACCTTGCAGTACTTGTACACTTACCCCCTTCCTCGCCCCTCACTGTTTCTCCTCTGAAATGGAAGAACATCCCCGAGAGTAGTCTGGATCTTTCTGTTTTTCTAAAGCTGTTTGAAGCAACTTTACAAATCCAGCCCCCGGGACCGGGTTGAGGACGAACGATCTTTCGATGTTCGTCAGTTCTCGGAGCTCTGTCATTGACTGAGGAAGGCGTCTGACTACATCAGCAGTCTCACAGTCAGGAAGGGGGTCTCTATCTTCCTCAAGGGACTTCTATGAGAAATCTGGGGCAGAGTTTCAGAGCCTCTGCCGACTGATCCCAATGGTTCGGAAAAGCATCAATTCCTCAGGTAGGAAAACTGCCCAAGAGCCGATTCTGCTCTGATGTAGCTCAGGAGATGGGGCTGCAAATTAAATTCTACTTCTGAAAACCTTCTGAAGCATTTTAAAAAGGAAAATTCCTCCGTAACTGTGCTGACCCGTTATTTCACTAAAATACCTAGAGTCTTAATTAAATCCATTTTTCATCCACTTTCTAAGGTGATCCTCTAGCGGTATCAATGCTTTCCCAACAGCTCTCTAAATTTTCTGCTAATAGTAATGAGATTATGTAAATGAAACTTTTGTTTTTGAATTCTGACCGTATCCCCGGTCTCTCATCATACTATTTCTACCTCATCATGGCCTTTTACTTTGCAACACTGGAGTTTGCAACAACCAGTCCTAGATGTGTAAGATGAGTCTCACCATGCTTTCTTTCTCCAGTCAAGGGCACTTACTTAGTGCTCACGTGGCTCAAACCCGTACAGTGAAGTTGACCCTGTTGGGTCAGGAGGAGGATAGGGTGTGGCCTGCAGGACATCAGAAGTTCTAGGTACTGCCAGTGTAAGAGGTGATAGAAATGTGAAAGGGCTGCAGGAATCCAGAATTCCAAGAGAGAGGTACTGAAGCAAAGAAGCATAGAGAACAGCTGAGCTGCCTGGGTCTCCAGTTGGCATGGGCTATATATTCATTCTTCTTCTAATAATGCATATACTCTGCAATAAATACCTCTCTGAACAATGTACCTAGCAACTTGTTAGCAACTGGGACTCCCAACTGCAGTGAGCTACACTTCCCCCCACACACTCCAAACAGTGTAATAACTTTCTCCTTTCCTTAATGGCCATCAAACAGACAGAGTCTCCTCAAATGTATCCCAAAACATTTGGGAACTATGGACAATGGGTCAGTCCAATCTAGCCTGGTTCGGCGTACATGTACAAGAAGACAAACTGTGTCCTCTAAGTGAACTTTTACTCTTATCATTTTATGCAGAATTGGGCATGCACGTGATTAAATTTAGAGGAATCATGGGAAGGGATGTGTACAGTTAAAAAAAAAAGTTATATAATTTAATCTGTTACTCAAAATAAGAAACCACCAGATATGCCCCTTAGCAACCAAACTGTTCCTTTGTTTGAACTCTATAAGAGGAAACCATGAGTAATAACCAGGGCTTTTGGGTGCTTTAACTCACTCAGCATAGTGTCACTTCTGACCATATTGATTTCTGAGCTGTACTCTTGCCTTGCTTTGAATAAAGTTTCCCTGCTATTTTGCAATATGTGTGAGCTTTTATTTGACTTCTTTGAGTCAGGGGCCAAGAACTTGGAAACAGCCACTCAGACTTTGATCTCTGGTCACCGTGCTGTAACAGCGGTGTAACCTTGCCTTGCCTCCGTTTTCCAAGTCAGCAGAAATGGGCTCCGAATCTATTTTACCTGTTCATAGGAAATCTGTTAGCCGTGGCCTTTAGGCATGTGTTTCTTGTTTTCTTTCTTTTATTTTTTGTTATACTTCTTTTTTAATTGAAAACATTTTTTCTTTTTCTTTTTCTTTTTTCAGAGCTGAGGATCGAACCCAGGGCCTTGTGCTCTACCACTGACCTAAATCCCCAACCCGAAAACATTTTTTCATTCAATGTATTTTGATTGTGATTTTCCCCTCATCCAGTTCCTCCCAGATCTTCTCCTCCTCCTTACCCACCCAAATTTATGTTCATTTTCTTTTTCTTAAAAAAAAAACAACAAACAGATGAAAACAATAAGAAACACACACACACACACACACACACACACACACACACCACAAAAACAGAAATCAAATATGCAAGGCAACATGAAGATAAAGACGAAGACGAAGACGAAGACGAAGAAGAAGAAGAAGAAGAAGAAGAAGAAGAAGAAGAAGAAGAAGAAGAAGAAGAAGAAGAAGGAGAGCCCAAGCAAATCAAATTGAGACAAAAAGTCTGTAAAATAAACACTACATAAGTACCAATGAGTTGATTTTGTGTTGGCCATCTACTCCTGGGCATGGGGCCTGCCCTGAAGTGAGACTCTGTCAGAGAAAACGAAATTTTCCTTTGCCAGTGGGTATCAGTCTAGGCATGTATTTCAACCTGTTTGCATCTTAGTGTCCTCTGTTGTAATATGAACACACATATCTAGAGGATTGTGATACTCTTTTTTTCCCCTTTCTTTCTTTTTTTTTTAATGTGCATTGGTGTTTTGCCTGCATGTATGTCTGTGTGAGGGTGTCAGATCCTGGAGTTACAGTTGTGAGGTGCCATGTGGGTGCTGGGAATTGAATTGGGGTCTTCTTTTTTTTTTTTTTTTTTTTTTTTTTTTTTTTTTTTAGCAGTCATAACTATTTATTACATAGCCTGGTGGGTCTTGTATTAAATAAATGCAGCAGGTGAGATTTAATGTGACAAAAAACTGAGAATCAGGAAAAGAAAGACACACACTATCTCACTGGTTTACACTGGATTCAGAAACAATTTTGTCTGACAATAAACTTCCCATTTTACTCACTGGAAGAAGCCATTCTCTGAGCTTCTGTATATCTACATAAAAAGTTAAAAACACAAGCTTTAGCCACTTCTATCAGAAATAGACGAGAGTAACACCGAACAGCAAATAAAATACAGTGAGTGCTCAGTAAATAACATTCTTCCTTTTTTGCCTTTCAGAATCCTTGGTGACAAGTAATACCATTGAATGTTTCCTACACAGAAACTTATAATAATAGCACAAATGCTTAAGAATCATCTTGTGAGAGGTATGAGTAAGAAAATAAATAATATAATAACAATAAGTGAAGATATATTTTGACATTTCTTTAAAGTTTTCTTCTTGTTTGTTTTTAATCACATGAGTTTTGCTAGATTTATAGTCTTTTCGGTTTTACTGAGCCAGACAAGGAACATTGGAAAGGAAGATCAACGCAGCCTTCTCTGAGAAAATTGTTATGATTTATCTTTAAAATTCTTTGCCCTTTCTCATATTCTTTTTTTTTTTTTTTAGGTTTTTATAAATTTTTAATTTATTTTAATTTATTTTGCAATACAATTCAGTTCTACATATCGGTCACGGATTCCCTTGTTCTCCCCCCTCCCGTCCCCCTCACCTTCCCCCCAACGCCCCCCCCCCCCATTCCCATCTCCTCTAGGGCAAAGCCTTCCCCACAGACTGAGGTCAACCTGGTAGACTCAGTCCAGGTAGGTCTAGTCCCCTCCTCCCAGGCCAAGCCAAACAATCCTGCATAGGCCCCAGGTTTCAAACAGCCAACTCATGCAATGAGCACAAGATCTGGTCCCACTGCCTGGATGCCTCCCAAACAGATCAAGCCAATCAACTGTCTCACCCATTCGGAGGGCCTGATCCAGTGTGGACCCCTCAGCCATTGGTTCATAGTTCATGTGTTTCCATTCATTTGGCTATTTGTCCCTGTGCTTTATCCAACCTTGGTCTCAACAATTCTCGCTCATATAAACCCTCCTCATTCTCGTTGATTGGACTCCCAGAGATCCACCCAGGGCCTAGTCATGGATCTCTGCATCCAGATCCCTCAGTAGTTGGATGAGGTTTCTAGCACAACAATTAGGGTGTTTGGCCATCGAATTGGGGTCTTCTTGGAGAGCAGTCAGTGTTCTTAACCACTAAGCTATTTCTCCAGCCCCAAGAATTGGAATACTCTTGATTGTTAACTTAATGGAATTTAGAATCACCATAGAAACAGGTTTCTGGGTATGCTTGTGTGGGGCTGTCTAGATTAGGTGAATCTACTCTAGATAGTGAGGGTGTGAAAATCTACCCCAGATGGGTAGAGACTGAAATAAAAGAAGAAAGTGGGCTTGGCATAAGCATTCGTCTTCCTCTACCTCCTGATGGCAGATGCAATATGACCAGCCCCCACTGCTTCTATTTCCCAGCATGATAGACTGTACCCCTAGACTCTGAGCCCCAGCTAGCCCCTCCTTCCTGAAATTTCTACCTGTTTGGTATTTTAATCACAGCAATGAGAAAAGTAACTAATATAAGGATTAAATGAAAATGTCTTAACACAGAACCTGGAACACATTGCCCAGTAAATGGCAGCCATTATGTTAAGCAGCCCCAGCATCTTCTTGGCATCTGTTTGTTTTACTTAAGAAGGATTCAGAATTACTAGAGAGGTGTCGAACACTCAGGCTACCATAAGACAGAGACACATTTTTTTTTCTATTGGGAGCTATTGACCTCTGGTAGAGAAGAATCAAGGGAAGACCTTGTTAAAAAAAAAAATCAAATTTCCTTTTGTCCTTCAGGGAAATAGAAAATATTGAGTTTCCTGACTTTCAAGAGCAAGGAATGTAGCAATTTACTCAATAAACACCTTGAACAGATTTCTAGAACTTTAAGAGGCTTCAGAGGTCATTTAGTCTACCTTCTTTATTTAATAGAGGAGACAACTGAGGGCCAGAAATATAGACCAACTCTGTCATCCTCCTTGGACCATGACCTCCCATAGGAATACTTTCCTTCTAACCCCTAGATTTTTTTTTTTTTTTTACTTTATGTTGTGCCTACTTGTTTATTACAAGGGCCATGTATTGGCACATGCCTATGATTCTAGATACTCAGGGGCCTGAGGCATGGGGACTGCAAATTCAAGGTATGCTTGGCTATATTTGGAGATGTTGTTTCAAAGTAAAGAAAGGGCTTGGGATGTAAATCAGTGGAAGAACATTTGTGTCGCATGTGTGAGGCCTTGGTTTCAATCCCTAGCACTGGAGTTGGAGATAGACATAGGACTAGATGGAGATAGGTAGATAGAATGTCCAACAGCATTAAGCTTTCTTTAGGTGACTATCATGGCAAATTATGCTTCTTGATATAGCTCTGCCACTCCGAATATACAGTCTATTATGATAATGCTCAGGAGAAATGTTGGTAATTTAGATTAAGGTAGATTCCAGAGGAGGAATATTTTAGACTCCAAAATCTATCTCTCTAAAGTTTAGAGATAGAGACATATTATATGATTAGATGTTAGAAGATAAAGTGAATGGAAGAAAAAATAAATGAATCCAAACATGTTTTTTTGAGGCAGGGTCTCATGTAGACCAGTTTGATCTTACACTCGCTGTGTAGCTGAAGATGACCTTGAACTTCTGATCCTCCTGTACTACCTCCTAATTGCTGAGATTACTGGTATGTGCTTCCACACCCTGCATCCAAACATTTTGACTTTAGTAATTAGGTAGTTGGTGATATAATTAATTGAGATGGGGAAATCATTGGACATGTCATGTTTGGTATGCCCAGGAAAATTCTGAGTGTATGTTGGGAGCTTGATTCTGCAGCTCATGAAAGAGAGCTACGATGAAGATATAAATTTGGGAATTGTCAGTGCAAGAATATTTATGGGACTGGATGAGATCATCTAGAGATGAGATGGAAATAGAAAGGAGAAGAATGCTGAGACCTGATTCTGGAGAATTCTATCTTCTAGAGGGCTAGCAGAGGAAGAATGTCAGCCAATGAGACTCAGGGGTTATTTCTTGGGGAATTTTTGAAGATGCGTTTTTTTTGGGGGAGAGGTTCTTTTCAGGGTAATTGGGCTTTAAAACAAGCAATTCAGTAGGATTGTTTATAATGAAAGAGGGACATGTAGAATTATGTGGATGGATAGCAGGGAAAAGTGAGGGAGTTAGGACTGTGTGTAACAAAGTCATGTCCAAGAATGAGTTGGTAGAGACCCAAAGAAGACCTGCAGGAGAGTATCTCGTGACCTACTCTTATCCCACGAGTGAGGCTAAAGATCCCTTGAGTGGGTCAAACATAAAGACGGAGAGGCCGTTACGAATCAGAATGATGGTAGAATTTGAAAGGCTTGGCAAGCTATAGAAGATGCTCTCTGTTGAAGTCTGTTGGGCTAAAGCAAGTGGGATGTGGTGAGAGTCTGGCCTGAAGGGGTAGCAGTAGGAGGATTGGATTCTAGAGGCATTTGGAAAGGAAGGGTTGGCGGGGTTTGAAGGCTGACTGGACATAGGTGATGAGCAAAGAAAAAAGGCCTGTGCAGTTGGAGAGCCCTGCAATTGCTTTGGGGTGATTTTGACTTTTTCCTTATTTTTGAAAATTTCACACATGTATATAATGAAATATAATCATACTTACCTCCCACTTTGCCATCCGATCCCTTTCATACGCCCCCTCCCAAATTCGTATCTTTTTTTTTTTGATGACCCATCAAGTCTAATTGGTGCTACCCACATGTGTATAGGTGTGGTGCCACTAACCATAATGTGGGAAACCTTCCAGAAAGATGAATAATTTAAAAAGGAAAACATGAACAAGGAAAGAACAACTAAATCATTCTTCCATGATGTCTCTGTCTCTGTCTCTCTCTCTGGGTTTCATGTATCCCAGGCTGGTCTTGAACTCACTGTGTAGCAGAGATACCCCACTTCTCCCGTCTCCTGAGTACTAGGATTATAGGCCTGAGTCATCATACCCTGTTTACTCAGTGCTAGGGATCGAACCCAGGGTTTTGTTCCTGGAAGATAATCACTTTACCAATGAATGGAGTTACATCCCCAGCTCTTCGATGACTCCTTCCCACATGTCTGTGCTTTGTGGCAGTGCTGAGAACTGAACACAGGGCCTTACGCGTGCCAGGCAAGTGCTCTATCACTGAGCTAAACCCCCAGCCCCTTCAACTCATGCTTTCCCACAACTGTTAAGAGCTGAGAGTTTGATTTCACACACTTCGTTCTGTATATTGACTGCATAATAAAATATTTAACAAAAAAGTATAGTG